ATATAGTAGCAGACTCCCTCCCTCCCCCCCGCCCCAAAAAAAAGGATTGTGGCTTTACTGATGAACAGCCAGGTTTATTGGAAGTAAACCATGAGTTTCACCGTAAGAGCTGTACAAACACACACAAAAAGGACTTGAAAATGTTTGAAATGTTTAAAAACTAAAAATAATGTTCACCACTAAAAATATCGACTGATTCAAAAACTATACCCTATTTGATTATAATAAAACAAATTCAAAATTCCAGCCTATCAATATTAGAAATATCCTCATTCACAAAATAAACATTCAATAACTTTTTCAATAGATTTAGCCATTATGCTTCACCCACCATCATTACTACATCTACTCTGCCCCAGTGCTTTCCCCAGTACATCCTCTTCCTTGTCAGCAGGTGCAGTCATTCCACCGTCATGGCATCCTCTCCTCACCTTTATCCCATACCAACCCCCTGACCCAACCTCCTCCTCCAAGGCAGCCTAGTAGCCCCTCTACTTTCTTTCCCTCCACACTGCCTCCTCCACACTTTACAGCTGATCAAGTGAGGGCAGAACTGAGGAAGCTTCAATCCCGAAAAGCTGCAGGACCCGACAGAATATCCCCTCGGATTCTCAAGATCTGTGCTACTGAGCTAGGGGAACCATTACAACGAATCTTCAACCTTAGTCTGCAACTTTTGAGCGTGCCCACACCCTGGAAGACATCTTGAATCATTCCTTTCCTGTCCTAAGAAGAGCAGGCCCAGTGAGCCGAATGACTTCAGACTGGTAGCACTGACATCACATCTGATGAAGACTCTGGAGAGGCTCTTCCTCTCGCACCTGGACAAGGGAAGTGGATATGTCAGGATCCTCTTCCTGGATTTTTCAAGTGTCTTTAACATGATCCAGGCCCCTGCACTTCTGGAAAAACTCACCAGAATGAAAGTGGACTCCTGCCTGACCACCTGGATTTGCAGCTACCTTACCGACAGACCACAGTTTGTCAGGATGAATAACATCACGTCTGACACTGTGGTCAGCAACATTGGAGCTCCGCAGGGGACGGTGCCATCACCCATCCTCTTCACCCTGTACACCTCAGACTTCTGCTATAACTATGAAACGTGTCATATTCAGAAGTACGTTGATGACACTGCCATCATGGGTTGTCTGGTGCCATAGAAACAACCTGCAGCTAAATACTTCCAAGACAAAGGAACTGGTCATTGACTTCAGGAAGAACAGAGGCAGTCCACGACCAGTTCTGATAGGAGGGGAGGAGGTGGAGGTCGGGCAGACTTATAAATATCTTGGCCTGTGGCTGGACAACAAGCTGGACTGGACAAGCAACACCAAGCAACTTTATAAGAAGGCTCAGACCAGGATGTACTTACCTGAGGGGGCTGAGATCCTTTAACATCTGTGGAAAGCTGCTGAGGTTGTTTTACCAGTCTGTTGTCGCCAGCGTCCCATTATACGCTGTGGTTTACTGGGGTGGAAGCATCTCTAAGACAGACCTTTCTAAGCTGGAGAAGCAAATCAGGAGGGCTGGCACAGTGGTTGGCACAAGGCTCGAATCTCTAACAGCAGTGGCAGAGAGGAGAACATTACAGAAACTCGAGGCTATTATGGGCAACACCAGCCACCCTCTGCACATTGTCATCAGCAGCCAGGACAGCAGGTTCATTGGGAGACTGCTTCTTCCAAAGTGCAGGGCCAACAGACTAAGGAACTCCTTTGTGCCTCGCGCAATAAAACTCTTCAACTCCTCACTGGAGGTTGGAAGGAGGGTTAACAGGAGTACAATAGAAACAGAGGAACTATAGAATCAGGCTAAATGTTAATGTTAAAAAAATAATTGTTTAAGGATTTGATGTATTGGTGCTATGTGGGAGACTGAACTACAATTTCCCTGAGGGTAAATCCCAAAGGGATGAATAACCAACCAACCTACCTATTTACCTACCTTGTGCCTCTATCAAGGGGGCCACTAATAACAAGATACATTTTTATAACACTGTTGCAACTTTTGCCAGGCTGCTGCTCCACAACATAAACAGCGGAAGCTCTCTCATCAAAATAAAAGCATCAAATCAAAAACCAGAAGTCAACCATATACTGCAAAAAACAAAACGAAATAAAGGCAACAAGCACCAACAGAGAATATAACAAATAAGGAGCTTAACCTGGGGTTATTTACACTCCCACCAAAATTATAAGTATTTGTTTAAATCAAAAGAAGAACGAATAATTTTCTACAGACAGTAACCATTTGTAGTTATTAGATTATGAACATTATAATATCAGAATTACACAATAGTTTAGGGTAATAAATTCCATGTTGAGGAATATGCCACTGTTCTCTTTGTTTCTTTTCATTTTGTACTTTTTCCATGTCATCTTTTTTGATGATGTCCTTCATGTAAGTTATGTAGTCTCTTTTGTAGCTTTCCACTTTGTTGAACCTTTCTTTTAAGAGTTCAAGTTTGATTTCAGCAAGCTTTCTGTTGTCAGACAAGTGTGGCCTTTGTTTGAATGGTAGAGGCATCTCATAGTATCCTTGTTCAGTTTTCCGTTTTCCTTCGTTGAGTATGTCCGAAAACATGAGATCCTCTTTAGAGAACATATTGTCACTTCCTTCCGTGTCTCTGAAATCTGACTTTGGCACATTAATTACATCCAATGGCATCACCGAGGGTAATTCTTTTGAGACTCTGTGACACAAACTTGACTTCGTTGCATCAAGTGATGGTGTGAAGCCTCCAACAATACTCCACCTTAAGTCTGTACGAACTTCATATGGCTCAAAGTTTTCTCAGTACAACTTGTTTTGGTGCTAAAATTCTGGGACAGTTGAATCCAATAAGGAGCCCCACATCACAGCTCAGGAGAGGGGGGATCTTATCAGCAATTTCTGTCAAATGGGGCCATTTTTTTGCTGTGCTCTAGTGGCTTTTATTTGATAGTGAATTGACAGGAAGGTGGGTTGAGAGAAGGGGGAAGACATGTGGCAAAGGTGACCAGGCCGAGAATTGAACCTGCGACAGCCGCGTAGAGGAATAAGGCCTTAATATGTGGGTTGTATAGTATTCACCTATTCACATACTTTTCTGTGGAAGGAAACTTCAAATTATGTGCAGAAAAGATGCCTATTTGCATTTTTTTTGTACATCATATCTAAAATATTCAGAAGAATATGCAGCTTGGGAAGCAGTCCAATGCTACCTGATGTGCTATAGAATACTGTTTGCAAAGCAGCCAATCCAGAAGTGCAATTTGATTTCCTTGGCTCTGATTGGCTCTACCCTTAACAGCAAAAAAAAAAAAGGAAGACTGTTAACATTAGCTTATGCCGTAGCACTAAGACAGCTTCCCTTGTGTGCATTAATGCATATTATGGTACCTATGCAGGGTTTCCCCCAGTGTAATATAAGCCTGGCAGCCCGCCATGGTTGACTAGGCCCCCAGCCAGGTCAAGTGTTGCTTATTATTATTTTTTAGAAAAATTTGTAATTGGGGAAAAAAAATAAATAAATAAAATAAATCGTTTAGTTTTTTATTTTTTTATCTTAAAGCCAGATTGCAAGCTTCTCTGTTGTTCTAAGAGTTTCACTCGCTTAGCAGACTTTTTTCTAAAAGATAAGGGTATACTTTATGCATTTAAAGCTGGAGAGCAGACCAATCACACTGCTGGCGCCTCTGCGCATTGCCTCCCACGCTGCCGCTGCTTGAGCTTTAAAATTTACCATAGCGTGGATCACACGCGTCTCCTTTCACTCAAACTGGACACAGACTGACCTGTGCAGTGATGGCATAGTTACTTTGAAAAAGTAACTAATCAGATTACTGATTACTCCTTGAAAAAGTGACTTAGTTAGATTACTGATTATTTGATTTAGAAAGTAACTAAGTTACATTAAAAGTAACTTTTTTAGTTACTTTCAGCAGCTGCTAACAGTCCGCCACCTGTCAAAATTATATTGATCTTTGCCAATACTTAACTGTAAGTTATTTTAAAATGGTAACAACAATATTGTTGATGTTACCATTTTAAAATACTGTTACCATTATAAAAGTGGAGACACATATCTCCACTTATAAGGTTGAACTAATGGTTACAACAACACAAAAATAACTTTTGTAATTTGTGTGTTCCAGTATTGTCTGGAAAACTATAAATAGGATTTTAGACCCCCCTGTCCGCCGCCCCAGGGTCCAGGTTGTGCTTTACGGCCCTGCGTTTGGTGTCACAGCCCAGCTCACAGAGCTCCTCCTGCAGCTCCACAGCTCAGTTGTCCCGCTGCACAGATTTGTGACACTTATCTTAATATTAATAATTATAATGGCATTTAGTTGCACAACTTTACGGACTCGTTCATTCGTGGCTGTTTTCATGTTTACTGCGCTGTTCATATTAGTCTCGATGTTTTCTGGAGCGCAATGCAGAGCTCGATGTAATTCACAGGTAATATATTAACTTAACATTAACAAAGATGCAACGCGATGGATCATCCGGGAAATGATGGTCAGGCAGAGTCTGACTGAAACTAACTGGATGTCAGACAAATTCTGGGGTTTATGTCTGCTTACTTCCAAGCCTAAAAAGTGCAACCCGCGACTCATTAAATTTGCAAGTGACTTTAAAAAAAACAAACCCAAAGCTGCTTATAATAATCGGACTTGACGAGCGAAACTCAAAATAGTTCCTGTTTTTCCAGCAACAAATGCGCATCTCCCTCTTCCCTCCATTGTTTACATTTCTGTTGCTGCTGATACTTTCGCATAGAAACAGCGATCACTCCCCAAGAGGCGCAGAAGAAATAACTAAGTAAAATAGTAA